AAATATCACAAAACGTGCTAAAATGAACATCAATTTTGGTGAGCATTCAGTTAGAATTACTTAAAAATAGGATTTTATTACTTCAGATTCCTTGTTTCTTCTATTATATTTCTATTAAGTATTAATCAAATAAACAAAACGTTTTGTAGACTGTAATAATAAACACAATCGTTATTGAGGAAAAAAGTGTACAATTCCATACTTTCAAAGTATTTTAATACTCAAACTAAGGAGTGAACAATCGTTCTTCTATTTAACCTTTAGTCACATAAAACAGTTACGATTTAAGCTGTAATAGTGTAGTAAGTTAAAAATGTATACTACAAAACTATGTAACCAATGATATCATGTAATTATCAGTCTCTCTAAAAGCCAGGTAAGTTATATCAATGTTTTCTCTTTCTCATTAAAAAAAATGAAACTCCAAAAGTAAGTAACCAAAGAGAAGTTACCTATTGATTTATTGATAATTATAATATCTAGAGAGGAATATTGTTTTGTTGGTATTTTCTGTCAGCTGAGTTGAGAATCTTAGTGTATTTTCCATTTTAGTATATCATACGACTATTGATAAATAATTAAACTGGGAAAATGATTAATAATGAAATTTGTACATGTGACTATAACACTCTGTTTATATTTTATCTGTTTTTTTTTTCAATCAAAATTACGTTTATATTAAAATGGTAGTATTAATTTATCAAGTAGAATATTTATGGTGGTTTAGCTAACTTTCATTAATGAAGTTCCCTTTCTAATGAGAACTCGTGTTGAAATTTATTCTCAAAAGATATAATCAATGTCAAACTAAATAAATGGATTATACTCTATTCTCAAATTGTGAATAACTGATTGTTAAGTTCACTTCAGCATTCGTTATATGGTTAATTTTAGAAATCAGTTTCATAAAATGAATTTTCATTTTGTAAAGAGCAGCAAGATTTTCAGTGATCTTTTGCTAACATTTAAATGTTCCTGTGTATATTAAACACTAAAAGTAAAATAAAGCAATTTTTGAAGTCTACATTGTTTTACGCAGTTCGGTAACAATCAATGTGTAGCAGCTAATGCGTTTGCATGGTTACTTGATTTATAGTACGTATGGATCTATTTATTAATTGAAATTAGACCGCTTCAATTGTTTACTCATGGTTTCAAGTATGAAGTTATTTAGTAATACTGTGATATGTACTACTTATTTCAACATGTGTGAGTAGTATGTAACACCAATCAGAAGTGGAATGCCTAGCAGCAGAAGGTTGAGAAGATAGAATAGAAGAAAACGGGACAGAGAGTGGTTGGAATGGAAAGAATTGATGTACATTTTTCAAATGAAGTATTGAAAGTATAGTATTCACATTTGTTCCCACTTGTGTTTTCATTCACTATAATACAGCTTATACTTTCTAATTCGAATTTTAGACATTCATCCAGCTGATAGATTTATTAAAATTGTAAAGCTTGAAAAATTTACGATCAATAAATCAGTAAGTTTAGATAAAAAAAATTATATATTAATCAGGTGAATTGAGACAAATAAAAGGACTAAAGGGACCGATAAATTAATTTGATCAGGTATAATATTTTACTATTTAAACTTATACATAGACGTAAATAAAAAATCTTAAATGAAAAACTGTTATCCAACAAATTAAAATTGGTAGCTGAATTGGATTTAGTGTGAAAACTCACATTTGAATGATTTAAACTGCATTTATGATTTTTGATTGTAAAATAACACTGAGATATGGAAAATACATTGACCTCTAATTAAGATTCGTTATTTAAATAGATCTAGAACCTAGTAGAGAAGAAACCCTGAAAACTTAACACTGATATCTTAAATGATTACGATAGACATTCATTGTTTGATACAATTTATTTATTATTTATTTAAAGAACAAAGGTTTTCATAATTTCTACAATAAAATCTTTGATAGATTCTTCTACAAAATTTGTTAAATATTAGGAATTCCAAAGTAATGAAACTTATACTAACAAATGGTAAATAAAAAGCGCTTAAAATTGTACAAAGTGTATACATAAATAAGGATCACTGGTAAATTAGAATTTCATGAGGCTGAATAAAAACAAACTTAAGAAAAATTTATCGAATTTCATTAAAATTTAGAGTAGACAATTTTTGGTAGATCAATGCATATACACTTGACAAGTAATTTAAAATCTCCTTCATTATTTGAATGATACTTAGTTTAAATAAATCTACGATAACTCTAGGCAATAAAGTGCATGTAGTAACTTGATCAACGTATATAAAGTATCTATGATCAACATTAAAATATCGTCTTAGGATTAAAAGGTTGTTTTTGTACACTGATGTACAAGCATAATTTGTTTGAAAGATAGCGAATCTGATGAAGCATCTCTGATAATAACTTATCAACTGGTTAATGTGGTTTGTTTTGCTGATTCAAAATTATACAACGCAACACTATTTTCTGTATTACACTTCATGTGCCAGCCTTTGTTTCCAGAATTCAGTATCTGAAATCAAGGCTCTTCTGGGTTGAAATTTCTAATTATTCTAACATATTAACTAGATTCATTGATGAAAATATTTGGATTCGTCATTTTTTCATTCCTAACTGAATTGGCTCCTATTATTATCTAACGTTCCAGTGGACAATTAGAGATTGAATTGTCTGATAAGATGACGCTATGCTTTAAGTTTACATTAAAATGATTTTTTTACATTTTTTGTGTTCTTTTCTAATTCTGGCAAAACTCAAATATTCCTTTTTAAAGCATCTAACTACTTAATAAAAATAAAGTAGTATGGAGTTATGTAAAATGTTTGAAATTGTTTCAGCTACGGATTTCATATATGAATGTTGTTCACTAAATGCTGATAACAAACAAAAGTTTGCTTTATTCATCTACATCTTATTCATTAATTTACTCTCAAGCTGCATATTTATGTTCGTCAAGTTTCGAGATGTACGTAAACACAGTATAAATCATCTCGTCAGAGCATAATGTTTGAATATCTTTGTCGTACTTCTGACTCAGTGATGCATATGTTTATTGCTCCACACAAGACCTAAACGGAATGCGTTCTACTCATTTTTGAACTTCTGTGTGTACATTATTGAGACATTCTAAACTAGAGCAAGCACTTATTAATTACTTCGCAATATCTAGTTTTCAATGGCCCTGCGATTGACTTAAATTCGTGATGAATATTAAGTTGAACATGTACATGCGAAGCTATAGAGTCAAATATTCTAGAACTGTCTTTGGACATTAAGACTCTAATAAAATATATCTTGATCTCGCTAAGTTTGAAGAAAGCATTCTAGGTCACAGAAAAGTTTGCACAAAATGTATTTGTTGTTGACTAATAACTGTGTGGAGATATGTAAAGTATTTTATATATATCGTTGCTCATTAACAAATGTATCTATAATAACTGCTCATATAAATCCTAATATTCTGTAGAAACTTTCCAAAATTTCACTTTTGCGATATTTTATTCACAGATAGATATTGATGCTAACGCAAAACAAAGTTGGTAACAATTTTCACGCTTAATTAGATTGAACCGTACAATCATTATTTGATTGATTTATCTCTGTCATTGAATGATACTGATTGTTATACGGTCACTGACTTATAGACTTGTAATGCTACCATAAAATTCGATTGATGGAGTAAATATTGAAGTATTGCATTTTTAATCGTCACTGTACAATAAAATTCAAAATGTCAGAGAAAACAGAATTATTTTATCTTCATAATTGAACTTGCGTGTATGTGTAGACAAGTAAAAGTCTACATCAAATTAACTTTGTACATTATCTTCAACATACTTCCTTATAAAAACTAAACATAAACTCTTTGTGATTAATAAACAAAGAATTAACAATCAATTTCAATAATCTACACACTATTTTAAGTCTCTTGATATCAGTTCTTTTCATTAAAAAAACAATATATCTTCAGTAAACAGAATTTGAATCGTCATACAGTACCAAATACTTTATACGACGGTAAGTCTCAACTAAAATCCCAGAAATAACATGGAACTGGGTGACAAAAAGTTGATATCGTTACAATCCAATAGGCTAAATTAGATTATATTTTGAAAATTCATTTCATTGTTATTTATATACATTTATATCTTATAAGAGTTCTTTACAAGTTTGAGTCACTTCATTAGTAATCACTTAAACAATAGGGTATTTAGCTTACTTATTTTTATATTATGTGTAAATAAATCACCTGCTTTTAGTTTAAGTTCACATACTTTATATTTGGAAGTTGTAGTGGCAATCCTTCAGAAACAAAATTTGATCTTATCAAATAGAATTTCCATCCAAATCGATTCGTGATATGGCTTCAATATACAAGATACAAGTGAAGATGGCGACGACAGTGACGAAGACGATGAAAGTGAAGATGGAAGCGAGGAAGAAGAGGATGGGAGTGAAGACGAAAGTGACGAGGACGTTGATATGGTCTCACCTAAAGGCAAGGAGAAGAAGCAGTTTTCTGGCTTACACGACAAAAAAACTGGTGGGTTTCCGAAAGCAGACAATCGTTCAGGAGACCAAAGCAACTTCAAAGCGCAGCACAAATTTGGTGGTGATTTCAAGCGCAACTCGTTTCGTGGTCGTGGTGGTCGGTCTCGCGGCCGCGGTGGTCAGTCGCCTCACGGTCGTGGTGGCCAGTCTTTCCGTGGTCGTGGTGGTAACCGTGGGGGCTGGTCAAAACGCGGTGGTTCTGATTAAAAAACTTGATTCCTCTGTAAATTCAAATTGCAAATAAATCCTTGTAAATGAATCTGATTTCTCTGATAGTTTGTTTTCCGTCCTTGATGAGTACTTCTGTTTTTAGTTAAGAAGCATGTCATTGACACAAGCATACCAGTCTGGTCAAGCCACTTCTTTGGCCGTATACAATCTACCCACCTCGGCAGACGAAACAGAAGTTCAGTCGGTATTCCCTTCGGCTAGGTCAGTCAACTTCGTACGAAGTCATTCTGTGTCTTCGCAAACTAAAGGGTGAGTACAGTTTGCTCCCTACAAATTGATTTGTTACCGCACATTTAACGACATAAGAGATCTAATTCACTCCGTTTTATGAGCAGTACCACAGTAGGTTCGACAGTCTGCGATATTTTTGTTTGGCAAGTTAAATGTCCAAAGGTGAAGCTAGGCATTTTAATGATGTTCCGTTAGTACGTTAACAAGAACTGACTCCGATCTTTTACCTTTCTACCTTTTGTTACTGGCGACGCAGGTGTGCCACATTGACCCATTCCTGTAATGTGAGCAGGTGGTACTATTTGCGATGGAGTGAAATGCAGGAAGGTCGACCCGAACACTTTCGATGGAGGTAGAAATTTGTTACTCGAAAGATCTGCCTACGGGGTCTTTAGTAAAGCTTATTCGCTTCCCATTGATCGCTCCATATTTGCTCTCTTTTTCTGTTTCATATGTGAAACAGCATGTGCATCTTGCAATTCAACAATGCTCGCGACTGTCAACAAGCCTACGATGAATGCCTTCAAGGAAAAGAAATTGGTGGACAGCTGCTGCAGGCGGAACTCAACGGAGGTGAGTTGGTCATTAAAACTCGTACAATCATTGGACTTATTTCAAAAACTCTTTAATAATCACTCAGTTTATATATTTCAGATTATCATTCCAGTTCGTCAGAAAATTTAAATGTCAGCCAGCATTATGGAGGCAATTCCAGGGATTTCAGACGTTCACATGCCGATAATGAGTACAGCCAGCCCACATATGATCCGCATAGTAGAACTGATAGTGAAAGTTCTTCCAACGCTTCTTGTACACTCACCGTGTCAAATCTTCCCTATACAGCATCTGAAAGAGATATTATGCGCGAGTTCCCAGAAGCCCTCCGAGTGGCACTTTCGTTAGACGAGCAGGGACGTTCCAGAGGGTAAATTTTATTTTTGAACTTTCAATTGTTTGTAGTGTTGCTCACGTGACTTTCTCGAATTCCGACCAGTGCAGCGCCGCTCTTACTTCCTGCGGAAATAAGATGATGGGCGGTAGGCCTGTACGTGGACGAATCCAGAGAGGTAAAGGATTGCCCATACATTGTATGTGATGTTCATTATAGACCAGGAGCACAATCAACAACCGAGTTATAACAATCAGCGCCCTTATAATCGTGACCAAAGAGAATACGGTCAACGTAATCAACGCGACTACAACCAGCGTAATTTCAATAATCGAGATCACACCAACCAGCGTGAAAACGGTAACCAGAGAGATGGCAATCAACGTGAGTACAATCAGCGTGATTATAGTGGTCAACGTGACTACAACAGACAAGGTAAGTTTATTTTGTCAGGCAACTAACTGGTTTAGTTGTTCCATTATGACAGGCAGTGTAACTATTTTCTTTTTTTGGTTTCAGGTAGGCAGTTCGACTACAATTCAGGCAGAGGCGAAAGAGATGTAAACCGTTTCCAAGGTGCTCCAGCTAATCGAGGCGGGTCACGCGAGTTTGGTAGAAATGACCGCTTCGAACGAACAGATCAAAGACGAGATCGCAGCCCAGCCAGAGGAGAGCCAGTTCGTGGGTACGGCAGCTCAAAAGGACCCCGAATAACATCAGCCGTAATTCACCGTCCAGGAAATGCCAGCCCTTCGGAGTCGTCCTCTTCAGATGAGGACTAAATATCCTGGTATTTTTCAGGGATTTCCTTACTGGTGCGCCGTGCAAATACTTTTATTAACGTACATATGACTTTAAACATTAAAATATTCATGTTGGAAATTCATTAATGTTGTAGTCTAATATACACTTCACTTCATACGCGGTTTTTTACAGAACACAGTGAGGTGTAAAGTAGCGGGATAGAGTCGAGGTTATGCTGGAATAAGTCGATTCCAACCAAATATATATACATATAAGGAAGTGGGGTTGGGTTTTAGTGCCTTAACCAAACTTCGCTTATGAAACGTAATTTTGTTTGATCAGGACTTTCGAGATGATGACTGACCTGAATTTCATTTTGTCGTGTACTGGTTTCTCTCGAGCAACTCATCGAATGCGAACAAACCAACAGTGTTATAATTAGTGGTTGGAAATTGTCCGCCTACTTACTGTGATAGTTATAACTAATCACTTGTAATTTCGAAGTAATATGGCTCGGGAGTCAGGCAAATTAGTGCATCTGTCCTAGTTTTGAGTTATCCAGAATGTCACCCAGGGCCGCCACTAATACACAATTAGGGTACCTAGATGTCGTGTCAGATGAACCGAAATGAGCGCAAAGTCATGGCGCATGTTCTCCCACAAGGTATGTACGCGGTGTCTATGTTTTGCCGACCGACCTTCATTGGGAAGATAGAGTTCGCAAGTAGTATAGTGTTTCAAGAGTTCTGATCACACATGTGACTAACCGATAGATATGAGAGTGCTTAAAATCGCTGACCTGGTTTGCCGTACGTCGGTATTGCGGTATAAGCAGGTCTTTTGGATGCTAACGAAATTTGGGCTGTGGTTTTCTGAGAGAAGATTATGAGCCTAGTGATGCTCTTCACTCCCTATAGTATTTATGAAAAATGATGTGTCAGGGATAATGACTAAAATTTAAAAGGATATTGGATCAGTAAAAGGCTACAATACTTGTCAGATCATCATTCTACTAATTTATTGACTAAACTAGCAAAACACTGTAGTTGAATACTTTTATAATTTATATTTCAACATGATCTCAGCTACCATATATATCCGTCAGACCAAGTTATTTCGGATAATCTAATAAATGAACGGTCAGATACTTAAACTGAGTAATTCATCTCCGTCAAGATGGAGAAATAAAATGGCCGAATGGATGATTGTTATGATAAATTATAAATTATTGTACAATTTTTATAACCATTAAACTCTCAAATAATATTGGGAGACCGAGAAGAGGATGAAGATAGTATGTTACTAGACAGGTTTCATAGCTCAATCATTATCACACTATTTGTATTACTTGAGATTAAATATCTTATATCTTCACTACATGTCTTCATAATAAGAAGACACACTTTCCCATATATCTTACAAACATATCTTTTACTAACTTCTGTTTCTTTGAATCTTCAGAAACATGTTTTGACTTTTAGAAAATATGCTTGTGTGAAGCACATTGTGTTCAAGCAAAATGATATTTGAAAGAAATGTATGATTTTCGACATGGATTGACAATTACATATTTAGGTTATTTGAATTATGTTCACAATATTTTGTTAGTCTTACATTCGTTTGGAATCTTAAAAAAATACAATAAAAACAACAATATCCATCAACAGACAGGATTGCGTAAGGACCAATTCGCGACACCAGTGATCATCGCTGAGAAATCATTTGAATGGGAATGATAGCTATATATCAACTTCCTTGAATATAAGAAAGCATTCGACAGTGTAGATAGAGTAACTTCATGGAACTTTTTTCGACAATATAATGTACCTGGGAAGATCATCAACATCATCCGGAATTCATAGACTGACTACAGTGCAAAGTCGCGCATTGAGGACTGCTGCATTCTAAGTGAAGATCGAAGTCAGAAAAGGCTGTTTACTCTCTATTTCTCTTCCCTCTTGTAGCTGACTGGAATATGAAGTCCTCAGCATCTGACGTGAAGCATAAAATACAATGTGCAGCTTGGACTCGACTAGACAATTTGAACTTTGGAGATGACCTATTGCTTCTATACCATACACACGATCAAATGCAGATGAAGACAGCTGGCGTAGCAGCAGCTTTCGCAGAGGTAGACTTCAACATACACAGGGAAAAAAGAATGATCCTGAATTACAACACAGAGAGAACCAACACAATCAAACTTGAAGGAGAGACTCTGGAATAAGTGGAAAGCTTTAAGCACATGGACAACAACATTGATAAATAAGGAGGATCTGATGCAGATGTGAAGGCAAGGATCGACAAAGTAGGGGTGGTATTCCTACAAGTGAAGAACATGGAACTCAAAACAACTATCAACAAACATTAAAATCATAATCTTCAATACGGACGTCGAGACAGTTCTACTGTTCGGTGCTGAAACTTGAAGAATTACTACAACCATCATCAAAAAGTATAAGTATTTCTAAACAATATTTTACGCAAGATATTGAATGTCCGTTGACCCGATACCATCACCAACAACCTACTCAATGGGAGAGAACAAATCAACTTCCGACTGATGGGGAATTTAGGAAAAGACTCTGGAAGTGGATAGGACACAATCAATGGAAATCATCAGATTGAATCACGAGGCAAGCGCTAACTTGGAATCTTGAAGTGAAGAGGAAAAGTAAGAGCTCAAGGAACACATTGTGTTAGTAATTGAAGGCATATATCAAATGAATGAATAGAAGTTTGGAACAAGTGGAGGGGATTTTTGAGGACATAATTTAATGGGTAATCGTGCTGATTGACGAGCGGTAACAGGTCTGAGTAAGTACGTAATTAAGTATTGATTAAAGTATTAGAGTTTGTTTATTCATACTTCGCAAATTTAATGATGAAGGAAATTAGTGAAAATTAAATGAAAAATGGGCTAAAAAAACTCAGTTTCTTTGAGATCATCATTTGTGGTTCACAATAGTATTAGTAAACTCATTAACTTCTATGATTGTGTCGCAAATATCCATATTCATAGAGTACTAAGAGATATTGTCTTTTTTTAATAAATATTTTATATATTAGGTGCACGAATAGACAAATGCATTATGATATTTCTGTACATCACACCCCATGGTTGACTAAAGGACTATAAATAGTAACAAGAAGCACTGTTTGACACGTTTGGTTGATAACAGTCAACACGCAGATAAAAAGTTCTGCGCTTAAAGTTATTTTTAAAATCACATCGAAGTTATTCTATACTTTTATAATCCGATACACATATACAGAAAATATATGAATACATATAAAAATCTAACGTCTGGATATAGAAAATGTTTATAAAGCCTCTGAATCTACCCTGACCTTTTACTTACTTTTGTGTTTTCAAACTTTTTCTTTCTCTTTGAAACTTTTCCAGACTTTGATTTTGTTAACAATTTCATTGTTGATTATACTCCTATGCAAATTGTTTATTAATCGTAAAACTTTATTTTTATTGTACACGTTCTACTAATTGCTTATCATTAATTAGACAGATAAGAAAAAATGATTTTTGTGAATAGTCTTGTGGATATTATGGTAATTTAATAGTTCAGTTCATGAAAAAATTGGAGCTAGACCACCATGGAAAACCTGGAAACAATTGACGGCCGTTTCGTTATAGTATGAGACTCCCGCCCTACGGAATTCAAACCCATGACTTATTGTTCTCGCGCTCTGTGATGCAAGCACATCCAACTGACGAGTCCCGAATAGAACGAAACGCGCGTCCTGGATTCCACTGCTAGCCACTATCCATCATTGCTTAATTAAAGTTAGCCATGAAATAATTTACAACGGAAATAATGGCACAATCACTGGTAAATGAGATGAATTTCATAAAATTTTTATAGGGAAACCATTAATTAAAAAGTTAACTACATAGAGGGGAACATTATTACCCACAAGTAATTTCCAATAAAGAAGTCTTTGTATGCATAATTGACTGTAGTTGAAAAACTGAACTATTGATTTCTGCAATGGTGATGATAAGATCTGAAGTTTTTCCAGAGATGAACATTAGCTAGATTTGACTTTATGTAAAATCATGAATGTTCACTAGTGAAAAGTTGGAAACTATGACAAAACATCTGTTAATTGCTCTCTAATTTCCAGTAGTTTTCATACTATAAACATTTTCTGACAAAATCCGTATGTAGCCAACACAAATATTTACACAAAAATACTTTATAATATATCATTTCTTAATTATTTCACTACTGAATAATGTAGATAAATAATTTTAGATTTTGTGGGTAATCAAATTTAAGATAAAAATAATGACATCTCGTAGATGATTCTACATGATTCTTTATAATCAATCATTTGCAAAATCTTCCAAAAATAGTATTAAATCTTTATTATAACTTAATTCAGTATTCGTGTTGCAACAAGCGATTGCTAAAGTGTATTTAATGTTCAATTCATTTAAGCTACTAAAAGGTGACTGTGAACAAAAATTATTTTTCTATCTTATATAAATCTATGTCACAAAAGTTATTTCCACATTTAAACATACTTTAAGCTTTATTGAATATAACTGATGAAGCGGTATTCTATTAACATTGTATTCACAAAACTGGATATATCTATGAAATTTGATTACAGCCAAATTGCAGAAAATAGATGACTTCGATAGAATTAATTATGGCAGTCGATACTTTTTAATAACTTAATCAAATTAAACACAATGGTTCGTTTTTGGTTGAAAATGTTATTAAATTATAAAAATGAAATTATTTTTAACTAATTATGAAGATAACTAATAGAGGCCTCTTCAATAATAATAAATTATAGTTTATTATATAAATTAATTACACTATTTTCAAATTCATCAATAGATTCCATTATCACAATTAAAAGTTATGAACGTGATTATATCATAAGTACGAAATCATAGATCCTGTTTCATGCAAGTTTATAATTATCATTAGCTCAAACTACTACAGTTTAATAAAAAAACAGTAATGAATATTTCTTATTGATATTTCTACCATGTAAATCGTATCTCCACTTGTTTGTATGGCTCTGATTGATAAGCTTTTAACATCGACTAAACAACCCTCTAACGTT